CTGTCCATTTGCAGTTCATAGATTGTGAATTAGGATACAGGAAGTAGTGGCTTTATGACAATGTTTTTCAGGTGTTACACGGGTCTGTTCAGTTTTCATTTATTGTTGCTGACAAGGCTGTTGTAGCTTACTTCTCGAACTGTATGGGGAATGTGTTATTCCAGGTTCTTGGGTGAAATCTGGAGAAAAGAAAAGTTTTGGGAAGGATTTGTATTTACAAGGGTTACTTTTATGATTATGCTGAGGTATATGTTCAGTTGTAGAAAAATATCTTGATGTGAAAGTTTATTACTGCCTCTTCTCGTTTTTGCGATTTTTACGCACATTTTATACTACTTTTTGGAATACGTTGTTGTCTGTAAGTTATTTTGGTATGTCTCTGCCACACTACTCTACACGCTTGGGGTACGGCTTCTTACCTCCTGTATTTGAACATCCATTTCTTTATTTTGGAAAACTTGATTTTCCTGAAAGGGGAGTATTCATTATCTGGATTTGTATTGGAACTGTTGATTCCTTTGTTATTCAGTCCCAATGTTACTCAACAAAAATAATTGAAGATTAATATTGACAAGAGTAAGTTTTCAGGTAAAACGCATTCAGAATTCAAGATAACAAAAGAGGAGTTAATGAAAGAGAGTTTAAAGATCAATTATCGAAAATCAGGTCGACGAAAATTTTCTCATCTTCAGAACGGTAAAAACTAGTGTCATTCCTACGAGCCATTTCTAGGATTATACTCATATTACTACACCTTCATAAAAACATCGCAGATTCTTTGTTCGAATTGAAGACAAAAATCTAATGTGTACAACACATGATTTCCTTGCACAGAATATTAAATTATACGCATTTTTTCCGGCAATTCATTTAAACTTAGTTCCTCGAATTTTCTTAGAGACATATATTTCTCATTCAATTAATTCAGTTCTCATTTCTCGGCAAGGCAAAAATACATAAAATCTAAATATCTTCATTAAAGTTTGAAAGATATAGAAAAACATAAAACAACAGATACAGTTAAAAGAATTAAAAAAATAATTTTTACAATTAAAATTAGAGTTTCTACGCAAAAATAAGCAATTCGGTCAGCAAGCAAGAATGTAGATTTTTCGGTGAACTAAACTAAGAGTTTTCTTTTGTTCACACTCGGCAAAAAGACACTGAAGGTGCAATAAGACTTTATTCACTATTCTGCTTAATTTCCAATGTAAAGAAATATGGCTGTCATGGTAAGAACAATTAGGCTTAGCCGCAATTAAAAATTTTTTTAAATTGTTGATAATTCTACAACAATTGGATGCACATTTACTAAAGGCTTAAAACATTTTAACCGGAAGATAAAAATAACATAACTCAATCATTCAATCATTGCAATTGACTAACATATAAGAATAAAAACACTGATTTCACAAAGCCCAGTAATAGAGTGGGTATACATAAATATACATTTATATAATTTTGGTGCAGCCGATTGCAACCAAAGAGGGAGGTGCACAACTACATGTTATAGCAGTCCTATATACAAATGTTTAGCGTTCTGAGACTACTTGTTTTTAAGTTATGCGAGATTCATACATACATATATACGTACGTACATACAGACGCCGGGAAAAAAATCTCTTTTGAATCCCTTTTAAAATAGTTTTATAATTCGTTTGGGGAAAAAGAGTCCTTTATTCTGCCCTTTCTTGATTAGAATACTTCTTTTACTTCGTACAAGGAAATAAAAAATGGATACAGTTAAATGGTCAGAGGAGGAGAATAACACATTGAAGCAACGGAACAAGTTTTGCATCCGCTTCTTAAAGTGTCGAATGCAAAAAGGCCGTTACAAATCTACGTGAACATCTCGGACTATTCCAGATAAGCGATTTGAATGCAAGATTGCGTGCTCGTGCAAAAGACTATGAGTAGAATGATGAGCCCGACAGAACGAAACTATTCCGTAAGTGAATACGAGACTACCGAGTGTGTCAGCGCGGTAACAAAACATTCAGATGTATTTTGGCGAAACCGAGAATAATTAAGAAGCTGCACGAATATAATTTAAAATGAAAACATCAGATGTTAAAACAGAATGCGTTTGCAAGCGCACTATTAAAATTAGGAGGGAGAGAACGGAAATAAAATCTTTTGTCATATCTTAACATCTGTACTGTTAGATCCAAGGAAAACTCTGATTACAGAATTTTTTATAGATTCAGAGTTTGGAAAAAGAATATGCGTACTTAAAGGATAAAGCGAAGCACTGAGGAAGTAAATGAGGTAGTTATTAAGGGCAGGTATGAACATTATCAAATTATACATAATGTTATATTTTAAAAGACAAAATAAAATAAACCAAAATAAAATCTGAAAGCTTTCTGATTTTACATTACACTCAAAGGATCGTTTTTTTAACGTTTTGTGTGTTACCTTTATTTATTAAATATCATGTTTTTCGCACTTGAATCATAGAATTTAATTCAACAGCAATATCGAAAAATAATTTTAAAATGAGCATATCTTCAGAATTTCCGATGCACAGTCTCACGCGATCGAAATAAAAATGTTTTTCGTACAGTTTTGCGATCGCTTGCTTTAAACTCGCTACGTTTCTTAATCAAAAACTCATAAATGCTTTACAAAACATGAAACAGATAATGAAACAAATTCAAAATTTACAAATTTGGGCTTTCATATGTACATATTCAGGTGGAGACGTACGTTATTCAAAATTTGATTTTTCTAGGTACCGTTGTTTTATCACAATGGGAAAAACATACATACATTTATGCATGACTCTTCATTACTTAATGTCTTTAAATATAATACAGGAGGATAATATTTAGTAGCAACAGTTTAAAAAGTTATTCGCCATTTGCAGTGAATCAATGCAAAATGCCAAATCAAAATTCATAGCTCTTCTGAGAAAATTGTCCCTTTGAGTAAAAAAAGAATGGTAATCTAGAACTAAGGCCAATCATTTCACTTATTTTGAAATCAGAAATTTCCCCCGAATTACTTGATAGCCGAAGACAAAATATAAAGTTCGAGAAGCTGTTTTCTTTCATAAGTTACAGCATGTTAGGCGTGTTGTGCTCCATTTTAGAAAGGTAAATATGTAAATTTTGCGCCGCTGGCTATTTAAATAGCATAAGGTCTAGATTTTCAAAAACGATTCTCGGAACAGATTTGTTAAGAGCTTCCTAGAGCCAGGTTTATAAAGCATATTTCCTATTAGTAACTGTAGACCATTTTAGAAAATGAATTGAATTAATGCCATTATGTCGCGCATCAACAAATGCAGTAACGAAGAGCACAGCTAAAAGGTATGTTTTAAATTCCGAAGATTCATTTAAAATAATATCCAATAATGAATCGCAATTTGTTAGTCAAATATTTCAAAAGTTTGCATTGACCTGGATATGAAGCATCTTAACATGACTCCATGCAGATCCCATATGGTTGAGCGGGTGAATAGAAATATAGGTGTAAATAATTGGTGGTGCGTTAAAAAGTTTCGCATCAAGCGCATATTGAAGAGTTTTCGTATACGCTATGGTCAGCCAACCTCGAGACTACTGATAAAACGCCGCGGCCAAAACCAAAAACACCACAGCACTCCTAAGTTATTTTGTGTTCAGTATCAGGAGGCAGAATTTCAACAGAAATATATACAAAGGTTACTTAATGGGTACTGAAAACATCAGGTGAGGCCAACGTCGTTAGAGCAAAAAATTGTATCTCATTGTTTAATCTGTCAGCCCTCAGTGTTATCTCGAACTAAGCTCATGTTACAGAAAAAGTTTTCAGATGCTGCGTCTTTCCGGACGAACCTCTATTTTGTGCAATAAACCTAATAAATTGTTTCATGGTGTAAAGAAGAGACATTACCGCCAGCACCCGTAGTAAAAGGTTAACAGCAATCAATCAGTGTAACCGTTGCTCCATAAATCAGTTTATTTATAACGAGGTAAAATAAAGCTTAAACATCAAATGTAAAGGTAATATGGTAAGATAAGAAGAAAACTTTGAACTTTTTTTTAGCCTGTGAACACGTTTTGAGCAATACAGTCAACCACTTTTTAACCAGGGTAATACCAGGTAGTACGATGCTCATGATCAAATTGTAGAGACATTAGGTTAATTGGAAAAACCGGAGAGATGAATTAGCAATCACCTTCGTTGGGAATCGAACCACGTACCTCTGGAATATCGGCCCAGCGTGCAGAGCTACTACACCACGAAGTCACGCTAGGAAAGCGGGAGAAATACCTTACAAACTTAAAATCTTTGGTTATCCGAGAAGAGTGCAGTTAAAAAGATATAGGAAAGAGGAATAACCAGTTGTATGATTCATAGAAAAATACTACCAACATTACCTGTACGTTGAAGCTATTTAATCTGGAGAATAATTTCGCTCGGGTATGTAAATTAAATCAGTATCAAATCTATAGCCCATTTTAAATAACAGAAGAATAAACATCAGCAGAAATGAAAAAACTAAGCTAGAAATGGAATTAAAAATGTATTTGCAAGGGAATTTGGATAGGGTCATTAAGTTCACATTGCTATTAAGCAGTCGGTTAGAAGTTGTATTCTTTTTACGGCAGAGTTTATTCTAGAAGATATGTTTCTGCTATCATTGTTATTATTCAAGCATTTTGCTTTCATTTTTGTATTTTCGATAGACAGTTTTGTTTTGTGTTAATCACAGTAATGTTTTCATTGTTCAATTATAAACAAACGTCACATTTTTCTTAGTTAAAAAGTGCTAATCCTAAAGTAGGCTAATTAGCCCACTATTTTTTAACAATATGCCTTATCGGCTTCCACAACGAAAGCAATACTGCCAAACATATTCCTATAGTGCTACAAAAGTAAAGCCTTAACAAAATCATTTAAAGACTAGTAAGGGGAAAAGGCCAATTCAGCTATTACTTGCGAATGCAGCATGATCTGTTAAATGGTCACTAGTTAATCACTATTAAAACGAATAAAATTTGGTTACTTACATGATTAAAATCCAAGATTTCAAAGTAAAGGTATTAGAAATAATTTCGTATGTTCGAGATATATGTATATCGAAGCCTTTGTCATCTTTTTATATCAATGCGAAGTTCCAGATAGCGTGTCGAAGATTAAGCTTCTTTCAAGTGTTAACTATCAAGTGTAATGTTTCGATAATCAACTCGAAAGTCTTGACTTTCGAACTGAGCACGCATGGTGCCCATTTCTGCAATAACAGTGATTAGAAATCGCTCTCTTCATTGGCATTCTATAAAAATGAATAACTATCGACAATAAAATTTGCTACGTCAATGAGAAAGTAATTAACGTTACGTTGATAAAGTAGTTCTCATATATCACAGTTATTATTTGAAAGTTCTGAATGTCTAAAGCTGCATCATTCCAGTCTTGCTCCTAGAAAATCGCGCTTTAAGTATTCATGGCGAATTACTTATATAATTAATAATATATCTCACTATTCCATTCCATAAAAAGTTTAATTTTTTCTACTCTTAAATCTATAAAACTCTAAGTTTAATAAGCTGTAAATCATGCGAAATATAATTGTCTTTAAGTAGACAAAAATATAGTGTACTCTACTTCTGATCGCGTTTTTTTACTCTATTCTGCAGGCGAAATAAGATGGTATGCCAGGTGAACAAAAATTTAACACATTTGTTACATTTATGCTGTTCGAAATTAACCGAGGATCAAATGCAAAGGAGGTGGTGGAAACAATTTGTACTGTATAATGTAACAAATAATAATGTAACAAATTTTGAATATAAGTAAATAATTTTACTGAAATCATATTTAAAATTACAGCATTTTTTGTATAATGTAACATGAAATGCTTGAAAGAGACAAAGTTCTGCCGGAAAAATAAAATTAAAGGGGCAAGTCTATTTAACAATGAGGTAAATAGCTGTCTCACTAAACTGGCGAGATATCGTCAAGCTGAGGATTGTTTTGAAGACTAATTTATGTCGCCAAATTTGGCGATAAATCGCCAAAAGTCGTCAAATTGAGTGACCATTTCATAACATTTAGGTCCGGTCCCTGTGTCACTGTAATCGGTACTTTAATTTAATAACTGTAGTAGATCCGTATTTGTAAACGTAACTGCATCCAGCCCTTATATGTCAATTTAACTTTATACGCCTTCCAATAATTTCGGGAAATGGAAGATATTACAGATTTCTTAGCCGCCAAGAGAAAACTACATAAGACCCAAGAAAGTATCAGTTTTCAGTTTTAATTTAGAGTTGACTTTCGAGCATTGAGATATCCGTGAGAGCTTCGCCTTTTAGATGCGCTTTGCATTGCAATATATTTAACGTTCTTAGAAATTTTTAAACGAAAGGGTGTAGTTTTACGTTTGTTGCCCAGGATTTTGGAGTTGATAAAATATTGTTTACGAGCCTGAAAGCCTTTCAAATGATAGGTATAGGTTTAAGAAAGGTTGGTGATGATCAGTCAAGGAAACAGCAGTGACTGACTAATATATCACCTTGCAAGCAAAACTACATCGAAACCGGACAGCGGGCAATATTGCTCAGCACAGCAACTGGACGATGGATGTCCGCTTTACTATAGCTAGACAACTTCATAAAAGTTGCATATTCGTCTGCCGTCCTAAACGTTGCTTACCATTTACAGCTGCCCATCGGCTTCACTGTTTACGGTGGTGTAGAAAATAGAAAGTCTAGACGTGTGGAGACATGTCCTCTAGAAAGTGGAGACATGTCCTCTTTATGAGAAAAGTCCTTTTAGTCTGACAAACAATGCTCAGCGCCAATTGATATAGTTAGAGGTAGAGATACGCTTTCATTCACTAACATCAGGGACCGTTGGATGGACCTAACATGCTTGTATGGGAAGGCATTATGACGAACTGACAGATGAAGCTCTATATTTTCGACAGAACTTACTGGAAATCCTTATTGTGATGAAGATATCCTCTCCCACATGCGCATTTTTTGGGTTGGCATTGGTCCTGACTTTGTTTTATGGATGAAAACGGACGGCCACACAATCATGGTGTCCTGGAAGCTCCTGGAAAGGGAAGATATCCAAGGAGTGAATTGGCTAGCCTACTCTCCTAATTTAAATACTATTGAGCATATGCGAGATACTTTAGGGAGATTCCTAGCAGGCACAATCTTACCCTCCAAAGAACACCAGACAACTGAAACAGGTCACCCTTGTAGAATGGGAACTCTTGCCCGAAAAACTGCTAGATTGTCTCGTATTGAGCATTGGCAGACGGTGCAATGCAACTATTGCAGTTAGGTTAAGGTCACATACCTTAACAAAGCTCGTTGATTTGTTATTCTCCCTCTTGGCCAAACCGGTTTTGGTATCAAAGCCATTCTGTGAAGTAAATCTTTTTCATAATGATAGTTAAAATCTTGCGCTGCTTGTAAAAACCAAAGTATGCGTATACACGCTGGTTAAAATTTAAATTAGCGAATATTGTCCTCAGTTTTTGGCAGTCATAAAAGCGAGTTGTTGTAATTAGGGTCGTCGTAAGTCATGGACTACTTGTAACTGTCTTTAATAAATTGCAGCAAACTTTCCATTTACTATTCTGACATCTCAACTGAAATATCATCTGCTTTCGAAAAAGATTTTCTGCGCAGTTAAGCTAGTGAACGTCTGCTTGTCACAGATTTAACACTAGAACATCCGAATTTCAGGCTAACCTAAAACCGCCATTGGTCCCAATTTGACCCTCACAAGAAATGTAAGTAGAAACACAGTAAATGATTGAAATGATGCTGAAATGACCACATAAAAGAGTTTTTAGAGGTTTTTATTTATTTTTTATACTTTAGAATTTTTTTTCGTGCAATTAGTGCAAATTAGCACACAATATCTTTCAATGTAAGATAACAAAAACAAAATCTATGAAAAACAAACAAAAGATACAAATGCAAAAAGTGGAAAATAGAACATATGCAAAAAATTACAAAAAAACATAAATTGGGAATAAACACACGTTTTCCAAAGTTTGTTATACATTACTGCAGGTGATACAATATGAACGCTTGACAGTGACAGCAACACATTTACCACAAATTGGTTTCTGGCATCCCTCACAGCTGAAAACAGTTTTGTTTTGTCTCTTGCAACTTTGAAATGCACATTTATTTCGTTTACGTGTCTGTATTTGAGAAATCGGGGGCATCTGTTGCGTAGTGCACTAAATCGTAGTTCTCCACGAGTGCAAGACGGGAAATAGAGGTGCCCAAGGATTCTTTGAATATAATCCAAGCATTGAATGCAGCAATATCAAGGACGTATTAAAAAACATGTACAGGCCACCTGCGACTTCCACTACTTGTACTATATTTCCTCAGCATCTGATCTGCGACATCAACGCCACATTTTGTACTGTTGTAGTAAGTGACAGTGTTCGGTTTTTTCAACAAACACATTACTGTGCATCGTGCTCAGAATCACGACATTCTTTTTGCTTTTGCACCTATATATTGTGAGTGTTTTGTCTCCATTTTTCAGTGCAAAAGATGAATATCGTGCCGAAAGAAGTGTCACGAGCAATAGGGGGTAATTCTCGCTTATTCAGACGCATCATCGTCCCGACAATTGTGGTTTTTTTCGCAGAAAGTTCATCTGCAAGTTTCACAGAAGTAAAAAAAATGTTGGCAGTTGTGACATTGAGTCCGGAGTTTAGATGTGGTTGCAGTAATTTGAGAACTACACTTTCCCCAAGTTGTAAATTAGTTGGTCGTTCTTCATCCTTGCCCAGATAAGGATAACCATTCAAAACATATTTGGATTTTACATCAGTTGCTAGCCAGAATTTGATGCCAAACGCCAAACTTGTCCGGTTTATTCGCCATGTACTGGATAAATCTACATCTTGATTGACAAGGCAACAATTGTTCATCAACGGTTATTTCTGGTCCAGGATTATAGCATAAATAACAGTTTTCCATTAGCTTGTACCAGGTTTCAGAAGCGAGAGCAAATTTGTTAGTGGCGAGACGATCAGCTCTGGTGCTTCGGACATCGAATCTGAGATAAAGCATTATATCACGGAACCGATTGCGTGACATTGTTTCTTTGAACATAGGTGGTCCCCAATTCTTGTTCCACAAATCATCTGTTCAAGGAGGGCAAGGCACTCTTGTGTACTCAATCCTCTTCCTCTCGGCATTGCAATGGAGAGAGAATATGCTCCGTTCTGGATTTTATTTTTCTCCCCTGAGTCACCGCAATAAGTGCTGCGTATTTCCCAATGCGCAGAAAACGAAAACGTGGCATCGGGAATTCGAAAACGAACATTCCCTTAAAAATATGTCGTTTTTCTTATGAGGGTCAAAATGACCCCAGTTGGCTGTTTTAGGTATATCTGCAATTATTTATTTAAATAATTAACGTAGAAATATGAAGAATTGGCATAGTATACCTGGAAACATTTTAGAAAAAGTAAAAAAAAATATCAGCTTCGAAGCTCAGCTGTTTGTTAAAAAAAACGCGGAAAATTGGAAAAAAAGGTCAAAATGACCTCAACGGCGCTTCTAGTGTTAATGCTGAACGAAAAACTGTAACAACTTTTTGTTACAAAGCAGCAAAAACATCAGTGGTGATACTAGAAATATTACGCAAGGCATGTGAGAATCAAGTACTTACATGGATTCTATATTTTATTTGGTGTAGACGATTTCGTGAGGGATGCAAAGATATTGATGGTAGATCCCAAAGTGGTCCTCCATTGCCGTTTCGAACGAGTTGACGATCATAAATGGGAAAAAAAATTCTCCTTTTTATTCCCACGCATCTACTTAAAAATAGAAAGGTTATCGAAGTTATGCATGTCATAATTTCATTCAAATGGCAAAACTATAATCATAATTTTTTGAAACAAACTATAACAGAGAGATTGAAAAAAAGATGATTTAAGGAACCGAAAAATAAGAAAGAATAATGGCTCATAAATTTTAATATTTCAAGAGGACAGAATATATATATATGTAAGATATAACAAAGTACGATAGCTGCTTTAAAACATAATTGGCGATCTCAAAATTAACATTCTAAATTTGGTGCTCTCCCCGTAAATTCATCTGTTTTCTCAAATTCCGGATATTTCTACGTTATATAACGCTACTAACTACCCAATCGCAAATT